CTGTTCTCAGCCTCTCAAGCACTGAGATTGCAGGTATTAGCCACCACACCCAGTGTTAATAGGCCCAGTCTCAATCGAACTCGTCTTTGCACCCTGGGGATAATTTTTACCTTTTAAAACAGGACCTCACAGTGTAGTTCAAGCTGGTCTCAGATTCCTGGTGATCCTTGTGCCTTAGCCATCTAAGTGCTGGGATTATAAACATGTGCAACCAATTCCAATATTTTATTTTTTAGAAAGTTTTTTTTTGTGTGTGTGTGTGTGTGTGTGTGTGTGTGTGTGTGTGTGTGTGGTTTTAGGGCCAAAGGTCTTTACACTGAGCTGGATCCTCAGTCCTCTTTTTAAAATTTTGAGATAGGATCATGGTCAGTTACCAAGTTTGGGATTGAACTCTGTATCCTCCCACCTCAGCTTCCCACTCACACGTAAGTGACAGATTATTAGAGCATCTATAGAAGACCCAGAGTATCTGAGTTGACCATTTCCCTAAACAGAAGAAAATGACCAATATTCAGGTGACTTTTCTCATTTTCTTCTCTCCTTTGTTATTTAATGGATTTGCAAATGCCTATAAAAGTCATTTCAGGAATTATCTAGAGGGGGATATACTTTGTGCCTAACATGGCACAGTAGGGTCAGGATTACAGGCATGTAGCACCATGCCTGACTTTTAAAATATTTTTAAAATTTGTATTTATAGTCTATTATTTCTCTCTGTCTGTCTCTCTGTCCTCTGTTGTCTCTGTTTCTGTCTCTCAGTCTCTCTTTTTTTTTTTTTTCAGTGCTAGGAATTGAACTTGGAATCCAGCACTTGCCAGGCAGGCACTTATTCCATTGAGCTATCTCCCCGGCCTTTGTCTGTCTATCTGTGTCTCTCTCTTTCTCTTTATCTTTTGGTATCCAGTTTTTCAAATTGAGTCTGTATGAGTATCTGCAAACTTTAAAGTTATGAAGGCGACATACTTTAAAGAAAAAAAATACATATAGTTCCTTACTGTCTTTCTGACTTCATTTCTAAGATTGATCTAAGAACTACCTGCGACTGAGACGAGGTGCTGGGCTGATTCTCCATTGCCATCTGTGTTTTCACATTTGTACTACTTCCAGCTTCAAAGGAGAAACCAGACCTTCCTTGCATTCCAGTTTATGGTTTGGTTGGCTTGAATTAGGAGATTTTCTGGGGACCCAAGTAGAGAAATGGTGGAAGTCATATGTTTAAGTGTATAGCAAGAGGAATATACCCTTGAAGCTTGTTTTACTCCTCACTCTGCAGGTCCTGCCATTCCGGTAAGGGATAAAAAGTGAGTGAAAAAAGACTTCCTGGACTTGTATATCATTTCTGGAGACACGCTTCATCAGTGACTAAGATTATTAGGGCATCTACAGAAGAAGCACAACAGAGTATTCCACTTGGCTATTTCCCTAAACAGAAGAAAATGACCAACGTTCAGGTGACTTTGTCTCATTTTATTCTCTCTTTTTTTTGGCGGAACTGGGTATTGAACTCAGGCCCTTGCGCTTGCCAGGGAAGCACTTATTCCACTGAGCCATTTCCCTGGCCCCTCTCTTTTATTTTGTAATGGATTTTCAAATGCGTATAAAAATCACTCCAGGAATTACGTAGAGAAAATACATTTTTTGTCTAACATAGCAAAGTAGAAACAGGAATATGGTGTTCGTATAATTTCCACTAAATGCCTGATTTTGGAACATCACGTGTAAAAGAAGAATCCAGTGGGTAGCAGTAGTTTTCAGCTTGTGCCTGGTATCAGCTTGTGCCTGGTATCTTTGAAGCCAGCACATCAAGAGGATCATGCTAAGTTGTATATGGTCCGCAATGACTGAGGAGCAGGCAAACAGGTTCCTGAGGAGATGGCAATACATATTTCATAGTACTTAGGAAATTCACCCTAAGTACTCGACCTTATGTCTGACTAAGCTTATCTAGGAACAAAACCTAAATGACCTAGGAAAATGGAGGGATTGTAGGACTCTCAGCTATCTTGAGAGGTAGCTGAACTGGGATTTAGGTACATACAGATTTATCATTAGGGAGTTTAAAGACATACTGTCTGATGAGGGCTTGAGTTACTGGATTCCTTAGTGTTTGTAGCTTCAGCTCAGAACATTCAGAGACCTTAGTTTTCGCATTCACTTCTTGTCTCGCTGATATATTTTAAAGGGAAAAAACTTTAACAACAAAGTACCTTAGAGTAAAAGTCAATTGTCTCTTGAGTTGAGTGCAGTGGTATGCATGCTTCTGTAACCTAATTGCATGGGAGACTAAGGTAGGAGAAACACTTGAGCCCAGGAGTTCAAGACAAGCTTGGCCTCCAGTGAAACATTATCTCAATTTTTTTTCTCTTTATATTCTAAATTTCTGTTTTCTAGTTTTCTCATCCTAGTTTACAGTTGTTTAGTATTTAACAATTTCTGAATTTGTGTGTACATTTACCTATGTATATTTACCAACATATGTTCATCTGTGTACACAAACACATGCAGTGGTACCTGGGCCATGTTTATGTTTGTGTAGCAAAGATGACCAAGGTCATATTTGTCCTTCAATGTAGACAAAACAAAATGTTTCCATATGCCACATGAACCAAACTTCTCAGATAAAAGCATATGTAAACTGAGATGCAACTGTATTTTTTTTCTTTTTTTGTACCAATGAAATCATACTCCAAAGAACATAACCTATTAGCTTGAGATGGTGTCATATAAAGACACCATCTCAGGTGTAGTGAGATGGAATAATGGCTGTAGTGAATGGAATACTCACTATTAAAATTGTTTGTCTATAGTTATACTAAAGAAATAAGTTAAAGTACATATGTAAATCATTGAGATGAGTACCTGTCACATAGTAAGTGACATGAAGTGATATGTGGACTTATCTATACTTTAAACCCTTTCCAGTACTTACTGGTATTTCTAACCATCTGAGTGGTTGGGATTCTTTTGCTTATTTTGCATTTTTTTTTTTTAATTTGATGTAAACGTGAAATACTTGTTTTTCTTTTTTTTTCTTTTTTTTTTTTTTTTTTTTTGTATGTGTGTGTAAAATAACCTGTCCTTATTTTTACATTAAAAAAACCTTTTCTTATGATGGATATGTTATTTGTATCCACCATATTCTTTTATTTCTTGCAAATATTTTTTTTAATATGTCAACTTTTAGCTTTGTTTGCAGTATCTGTTTGAGGATAGGTATTATTTTTCCTTTCACAACATTTGTCACTTTTTCTTTCTTTTTTTTGGGCAGAACACAGGGATTGAACTCAGGCCCTTGCACTTGCCAGGCAAGCACTTATTCTACTGAGCCATCTCCCAGGCCCCATAAGGATTTTTTTTTTCCTCCGAATGCCTTCAGGGCGGGTTTGGCTGGCTTGAGTTGTGGGGATCGAACCACAGCAACCTGAGCCTGACTGCTTTGTTGAAGCAGCCACTTAAAGAACTGAGCTACGGGGCAGGCCCCCCACTTGTCACTTTTCTTCCATTATATAACTTTTGGCCATGAATTTTCTAAATGGATTTCCAAATGGTTTCATATAAAATAATCAGACTGTGATTATATCAGTAAAGTTAAGATTTTGTAGCCTCAGTCCAGGCATGGTGTTGCACAACTATTGTCCAAGCTACTTTGTGGGTCGGAAACAGGAGGCCTGTTTGAGCCCAGGAGTTTGAGGTCATCCCAGGAATGATTACAAGACTATTTCATTACACTTGATCTTAACCAAAAGACTGAGAAGTGATAAGACTTTTTCATTAAAAAAAAAAAAAAAAAAAAAAAAAAAAAAAATTGAAGTGTTTAGCAGGTCTATTCTTTCCTCTACATACTAATCTCTACGATAACTTGGGGGTGGATAATCTCATCAGTTTTCCCCCAAGGTTTTCCCTGCCCCAATTTCTCACACTTCCATGTAAGTACAAACCATGTTGAGAAAGAAAAGTGGCAGATAGTCACCCATCAAGTCTCAGTTGTTCTCTAGTGGCATTCAGGGCTAGGCAGCTTTGCTGTATGATCAGAACACTGAAGATACTGTTCTATACTTTTTCGCTATTATTTTATTTTTTTTCCATAATTTTATTGAGAAACAAATAACAATGAGACAGTTTCAAACCAAATTGGTAGGACAGTTTCAATAATTAACACATTGCATACATTCTTCCTCGTGGTTAATTGCTGTACAAGATGCGGACTTGATATCCTATTTACAAACACCATTAGAACAAATCCCTCTATTCATTAAGAGAATGTAACTATATATCTATCCTAACCACTTTGAATACACAGATACAAAATGGACATTCATCATTTTTTGTTAAGTTCCATCATTTAAATGTTATAGGTGTACAAACTCAGCAAAATATTCAAAAAGAGTTCAGCAGTCCATAATAGTATTGGGGCTTCCGCTTGACTGGCAATGTCAGAAATTGTTGACCTGAGTCCCCTACAGCTAAACATAACACCATGGCTTTACGTCTTATACTTTGTTTTTATACTTTTCTGCTGGATGGTTAAGACCAAGGTAAAGCAGGACCTATGCAACAAGAGTTGTAGCTTTTGGTCTGATAAGGTCACTGAAATCCCCTCAGGATTTATCCTGAGAGCCTGTACCTCAGATTGTAGAACCTTTGTCAGTGTCAGCCATGTGCATGAGTCATGGCCATTGCTTGGCCAATGTGCTCTCTGTGAAAGCTTGAGAGAATGTTTTCTCTCCATGTGACTCTCCTCAGGCACACTCTACATTATCGATCACTTTCCTCTTTGGCCCCATAATCTCCTTGATCAGAAAATTTGGGACACTACTGAGTTACATGACATTACAGTACAAGTTCTCATATGCCCTGAGTCTTAAGTGACCTTGGAAGACTAGGGCCAAAATGTAGACTTTCCTTGCGGCCCTCCTTTTACTATAATTTTGGTCTGCAAACTTAGGTTGTTAACCATACAGAAGAGAGGCTTATTGTTATTACCATACAACTTAGGCTGTTAAGCTTAACCTCACTATCTGTCTGCATATCAAACATCTTAGGCATAACATGGAACAGGTATTTTTCATCAAGTATTGGTATGTTGAACTTTAAGTCCCTATAGAATATGATGAAAAAACATTGAAAAATTAGAATATATTTTTAAAAATAGACATAAAGAATTATTTACTTCTTATATTTCCACATAAGTCCAAAAATCTAACCGTATACAACCTTGAAGCAGGACAGTCCCACAATAATTGGCTTATATTTTATTTGAAGAAGTCATTTGTCAATATATTTTATCTTTCTTATATTTATTTTTTATTTTTAAATTTTTATGGTTTTTTGAGTCAGGGTCTCATGATGTAGTTTAGGCTGCGCTCAACTCACTATGTGTAGCCCGGGCTGGCTTTGATCATGCAGCAGTCCTCCTGCCTTACCCTTCCAAGTAGTGGGATTATAGGCAAGTGCCATCCACACTTGGCTTTTTTTTTTCTTTTGAGGTTAATGTCTTTCTAGTTTTCACATTTGCATCAGGTATTCTACAGTGTCCATTTGATGTATGTGAATGGACATTTCCTGTTTGGCTTTACTGGTTTAGTGATTCTGAGTTATAGGGTATTTTAACAGTTCTGAAAATTTCTCACTCCTTAGATCTGTGTACGTGCAGTCTGTATTGTTAATGTAAGCAGTACAACTTCCTTTATATTTCTTATCAATAAAAGAAAATCTCATTAAGCAGGATTCTATTATTATAGGAGCCATTGACACTGGAGGATGTGACTGTGACATTCACGCAAGATGAGTGGCAGCTCTTGTGTCCAGCACAGAAGAATCTATACAGAAATGTGATGTTGGAGAACTACAGCAATCTGGTGTCATTGGGTAAGGATAGTTGCCCTGTGCCACCCAGGGTGCCTTTGTGGCTTTTCCTTTAACAACTGTCTAATGTGTCAGAGTCTGTTGTGATTTCAAGTGGTAGACTCTTGGCTACTAACAAAGTGCATTGTGTTCTTTCTCCTGATAGATGTAAAAACTGTCCAATTCTTTATTTTTACTTTATTTTCCCTCAGTTCCTTAAATGTGTCTGCTTCCATGTTGACATATCCCAGCTCAGTCAATATATCCATGTCAACCAGGCATAGTAGTGTATGCCTGTAATCCCAGTACTCAGGAAGCCGAGGCGGGAGAATCATTGTTAGCTCAGCACCAACCTGGACTACAAAGTGAGCTCAAGGCCAGTCTGAACTGCATAGTGAGACCCTGTCTTAAAGACCAGAAAAAGAAAAAAAGACCAGGTCATCTCTCACCTCTCCGCACATAGTGTATCAAGGCAGCAAGCCAGATGTACTCTTCAGGTTGGAAAAGGAGATCCTTGGACAATAGATGAAATGTAGTCCTATCTGGCCACGTAAGTGAACGAGAACCAGCAATATACACACCCACAGAATCCTAATTTAGTCAGAGGCCTGTGCTCTTCCTATCTTAGAATATTTCTTTTAGATCTTTAGAGGGGAATGAAACCATGTAGAGTTCTTTGGATTTATCACTAACTTCTGACTTGTGCTTTCCCAACTCACTGGGTAACACTAATTCCTCTTCCTAAAGGCCAGCCAGCTTACTGTGCTTTCACAGTAAGCCTGATCTTATTACACATTTATCTGGTTCTGGTCTGGTTTTTCATTCCTTTTTGATTCTTCAATGGTTTTATTTTCCTTGCTCACTTTCTAATCCTTAAATTTTGTTTTCTCTTGCTTAAGCTTTGTCTGCTCTCTAGATGAGACTTCCAAATTGACAGCTCCCTAATAATATTGAAATGTACGCTTCAGTTCTACATCCTATTTTATTTTATTTTAATGTATTTGGTACAGGGTCTCACTATGCAGCTCAGACTCATAGGGATCCTCCTGTTTTCATTCTCCCCAGAGCTGGGGCTATAGGGGTGCACCACCATGCCTGGTCTCAGTTCTACATATCTTAATGTTCTATATGACAACCAGCTATGACTTTCCAATTGCAGAGTAAAGAATAAGAATCTTAGTCCCTCCACAAAATACCCCTTCCACCATCCTGTTTTAAAGATGAGCGTCTCCTTAACTATCATGTATCTTTTGTTCTTTTCATGTTCATGTTGGGTTTTTCCTATTTTCTAACTACAAAGTCCTCTTCTTAAAGATCTTTGCTATTTCTGTTAACTGTTTAGCTTAAAAGGACTTTTTCATATACTATATCGCTTCCTATCTACACTTGGTCATACCCTATGACTGCCTTAGTTTATTTCTTCTGTACATGTGAAAGTTTGACTTTTTCTTCTGTTCATCTTACATTTTGAGAATTATTCATTTCCCTAAGTCATTTGTTTTTCTCTTTTATATTTTTGTTTATTTATTTAGTATTTTTGTATTTTTAAAATAGCTTTCTTGAGATAATTTACATTTCATATAACTTGTCAATTTAACACTTACAACTTAATTTTTTTTTTTTTTTTTTTTTTTTTTTTGCGGAACTGGGAGATTGAACTCAGGCCCTTGTGCTTGCCAGGGAAGCACTTACTCTATTGAACCATCTCCCCAGCCTCCATTTCCACAAATTTAGAAGATTTTCAATACATTTAAAACCCATTTCTGGCACTCAACATAGTGACACATTCCTGTAGTACCAACAGTGAGGAGGCTAAGGTATGAGTTTGAAGCTACTCTGGGCTATATATTTCAAGGTTATCCTGGACTATGTAGCAAGACCCTGTTTGAAAAACATCAAAATTAAAAAAAACAAAAACATTTCATCCCAAGCCCTCAGCCCTAGGTACCACTAATCTACTTTCTATGTATAGATTTTCCTGTTTTGGTGTTTCATAAAAATGGAATCACAAAATAATGTCCTTTGGATCTTTTTATAAAATTAGCATGTTTTATATTTCCATGTTTTAACATGTATCAATACTTTATCCTTTTCTCAAGTAATATTCCACTGTATGGAAATGCCCCCCCCCCCCCATTTTTGTATTTTGTACAGGGTCTCACTATATAGATTAGACTCGTAGTGATTCTTCTGTTTTCAACCTTCCAAGCACTGGGGTTACAGGTGCATGCGAGCACCACCACGCTCAATCTCAGTCACTATCTCAGTGTGCCCCAAGGGTGGGGCTGGCACAGCATGCCAGGGATCGAGCCCCGGTCCTCGCATCTACCTAAGCAGGTGCTTTAATCTGCTGAGCTATCTGGCCAGCCCTATTGTGCCCCATTTTTGTATCCATTTATCTACTGATGGACATTTGTGTTGTCTCAACTTTTATGAATCATACTACTGTGAATATTTATGTATAACCTTTTCATGAACATACATTTTCATTTTTTGTACGTATTTGCCTATGATCAGAAGTCTTGGGTCATGTGAAATCCAGAAGGGATCTATACTCAGTAGTTCTAGTTGTCTTCTGTTGGACATGTAGATAATTTGAACCTTTGGTGTCCTGAGCTTTCACTATGCTTCACATACTGCCATATAGCTGATCTTTATAGTTTTTAAGTCTGTATCCAAAGTCAGGCCTGTACTTTCTAGTTTGTTTGAAGGACAGAACTATATGATGTAGTCTAAAGCTCCTATCCTAGATTTCATGGTCCATCAGAAACAGGTAGTGGCCATGCCTCTCTTGGGTGAGGTTAAATCTTCATAACAACAGAAGGGTAACTATAAAAATGAAAAATAAGGAAAGGAGTCACTTTATAAATACAGAGGAAGTAGGTCTTATCATGGTATAATCAGGAAGAATGAGAGGATGACATATACAAGGTATACATAGATTTTGAATTAGGAAGATGATGGATAAATTAGGAATGGTGGTATGAAATGTGCAAGACCATGGGGTTGACTATTAATAGATAGTCCTGAAATTGGCCAAATGATGGCCAGTGTTATGGAATGCCATAGCTGTAGTAGTGGAAACCTTTATTGCCAAGATGACTTTAAATTTTAGATTGTACATGTAACTGAGGTATGATGAGAGAAGTTTGGTTAATTTTGTATTTTTATGTCCCTAAGTAGTCTTATCTTTCATGTGAATGGCTGCCATGTGAACTTTTATTCAGAAAGTATCAGTTGTTATCCTTGGTAGAGCTTAACCAATACTAAAATGAACAGTATACAGTGTTACAGACATTGAAATGGGAAAAGTTTAGTTTGAGTTTGCTACTGTATGTAGAGAATGGAATTGAAGATAACAATTTCTTATTCCATGCAATACATTAGCTTCTGAAGAAATCTGCATAATATACTAGCTACTTGCAACATTCTCCAACAATTACTGTTTCTGTTTCATAATATATGGGAACACAACACAGCAAAACCAAAGGTTAAAATGTTGGATCTTCGATTAATTGTACTGACATTGTGTGAAAGTTAATTTGTAGTGATTTACATACCTAAAGGAAAATATATAAATCAGATTACCACACAGTTCATTTTAATTCATATTCTACAGATCTCACATTCTTATGTGGTAAGTAACAAATATATTCTGTACATTTTGTTTTGCATATTTTTCTGATATCTGTAGTAAGAGCTTCAGTCCTCTAAATGGGATTGAAGAATCTCCAAACTCAAATACAGGAATGTTTAAAATTCTAATTTTATACACTCATTATTTGTCCTTTTTCCATGTCCTCCCAACATATCACCCAGCCCTCTTTTTTTTTTTTTTTTTTTTTTTTTTTTTTTTTTTTTCCCTTTGTGGTTCTGGGAATCAAACCTAGGGACACATGTATGCAAAGCTTATTATCCTATAAGTGAACTACACTCCTAGCCCAGTTTCTCTTTATTCTTGGATATGTATATTCTTTTCACACAGATATCTTCATTTATATTTTCAGATAGATTCTTGATGTTAGTTAAAATCCTATTTAGAAAACAGCTGAAGGCCTACAGATTGTTAACTGGCAAACTTTATTTAATACACTGCTTTTAACTTTTGGTATGTTCATGTTATTGTGTTTTTAACAATAAGTGAAAAATAAGAACAAATTGTATAGGAAGTTGTTTTTATACTGTTATAGTGTTATCACTAATAAGTGATGTTAGTATTACATATTTAAAATCTCAAAGTTCATATTTCATGGTGCTTACTTTATAGGTTCTGGAGTTAGTATTATTCCCCATGTCATCATGAGTCTTCTATCTCCTCTGTGGCTCAAACCATATAGTTAATGAAATAATCTTTGGTTCTTCCCTTTCATTAACTATTTTCCCTTTTGAAACCATCATTTAACTTGGTGTTTTCTTTTTACCAATATATATATATATACAATATGAAAACTTCTTCCTCCATCTCCATTGCTTCTTCAACTTACATTCACCATCTCCAACTTTCTTCTTTTTTATTTCTCATTTATTTTTTCCCATAACTAGAATTTTATAACAGTAAAAAAGGCATATTTTATATATCCTAAACATCAGTAGAATGTTTTTTCTAAGGAAGCCATTTAATCAATATTTGTGGAGTGCATAAATTTAATCTTTATCATTCTGGATTAGTTGTTTCATCTTTTTGTTAAACATTTATTTTTTTTTTAACATTTATTTATTGTGTGTGGGGGGTGGCCAGCTCAGCCCACCAGGGGGCGCAGCTGGCTGGCATGTGGTGCTGGGGGATCGAACTGCGGTCCCTGTGCTTTGCTTAGCTTAGTTTGTTCCAAGTAGGTGCTTTAGACCACTGAGCCATCTCTCCAGCCCTGTTTCATCTTTTTGATCTGATGTCTCCTTAAGCTTGGTGGAATAGTGTTGATACTAACCTGGTTACTTACTAACAACAACAACGACTTGCTTGTATTCTATTGTGTTTACACATTTTGCAAAATCCTATTTAGAAAACAGCTGAAGGCCTACAGATTGTTAACTGGCAAACTTTATTTAATACACTGCTTTTAACTTTTGGTATGTTCATGTTATTGTGTTTTTAACAATAAGTGAGAAATAAGAACAAATTGTATAGGGAGTTGTTTTTATACTGTTATCACTAATAAGACTTTTAAAATTTTTCCTTGAAGTGCTGTCTTAGTTACTCTTCTCTTGTTACTGAGACAAATACCTGACTCTCAAAATGAAGGAAAGAAAGGTTTATTTAATGTACAATTTTTGGAGGTTTCACAGTTTAAAGTAGCCTCAATTACATAGCAAGACCTCGGAGCCTTATTTGCTCAGGTGAGAGGGTCAGTGCCTCTGTCTTCTCTAAGCATCTCCTCCCTGCCCAACGTGGCCTCAATTACAGACACCACCGGTCTAGAAAAGAGGCAGGGGTGCTGCCCTGTCCAGGATCACCTTCTGCACACCTCCAAGGAAGGCCGCTGGTGGGCGGGGGGACGAGGACACAACACGGATGGGAGACATGCTGCCAGCTTAACGGTTCATGCCTCTCTGGCCCTGCCTGTCAAGCCCCACCCTGGTCCTCTGACCACACCCTGCAAGCCACTTGCTGCTCCTCGAGTCAGGTCTGCCCCATGACTTACATGAGGCTTCGGGGGGACAACTAGACACAAACCATAACATACTGTTATCCTAGTGTTATTACTAATAAGCTTTTTAAAATTTTTCCTTGAAATACTGTAGATTGAACCCCAAAACCTTTTTGCATGCTAGGCAAGAATGCTACTACTGAGCTATATTCCTGGCCTAACTACCATTTTTTTTTTTTTAAAACACAAAAGAACCTTTTACAAGTTTAGTCCACATAAGCTATAATTCATTGTTCTTTTTTTTTTTTTTTGTAGAAAATGGCCAAGTTGTTAATCATGTACAGTGTCACATGAAAAATCAAAGAATGCTAAAAGATATGGAACAATACCATAAACACAATCCATTTATAGATACTGTTCTTCAAAGCAAAAATCATTTTGAGTTATATACAAAATATTTCAAGTCAAATTTAAGTTTTGTCAACCAGAACAGAAACTATGAAATGAAGAGTGCTACTGAGTTTAAGGAAAATGTGGAGACATTAATGAATGGCAAGTGTGAACAGTTACATTCTGCAGTAAAATTTTCTGTAAGCAGAAAACCCATTAGTAAGTCCCAAGTCATTAAGCACCAGAAATTTCATGAAATAGAGAAAAAGCATATATGCAGTGAATGTGGGAAAGCCTTTATCAGGAAGTCTCAACTTACTGATCATGAAAGAGTTCATACAGGAGAGAAACCTTTTGGGTGCAATATGTGTGCAAAAGCATTCTCCAGGAAGTCCAGGCTCAATGAACATCAGAGAATTCATAAGAAAGAGCATTCGTTTACATGCAGTGAATGTGGAAAAGTCTTTACCATGGAGAGCCGTTTGATAGAACATCAACGAATTCACACTGGAGAGAAACCCTATGTATGCAGTGAGTGTGGAAAAGGGTTCCCAGGCAAGCGTAATCTCATTATACATCAGAGAAATCATTCTGGAGAGAAATCCTATGTATGTAGTGAGTGTGGAAAAGGCTTCATTGGAAAAAGCATGCTTATCATACATCAGCGAACTCATACAGGAGAGAAGCCCTACATATGCAGTGAATGTGGGAAGTGCTTCACCACAAAGTACTATGCCATCATACATCAACGAAATCATTCAGGGGAGAAACCACACATATGCAATGAATGTGGGAGGGGCTTTACCATAAAACGTCGTCTGATTGAGCATCAGCGAATTCATACAGGAGAGAAACCATATGTATGTATTGAATGTGGAAAAGGATTTCTTAGGAACAGTAATCTTATCGTACATCAGAGAAATCATGTATTAGAGAAATCACATATATGCAATGAATGTGGGAAAGGCTTCACTGTGAAGACTGCGCTCATTATACATCAGCGATCTCATACAGGAGAGAAACCCTTTATTTGCAGTGAATGCGGGAGAGGCTTCTCTTTGAAGAGTCGACTGATTGTACATCAACGAACACATACTGGAGAGAAACCTTACAAATGTAGTGAATGTGGGAAAGGTTTCATTCTGAACAGTGCATTAATGATACATCAGCGAATTCATACTGGAGAGAAACCCTATGTATGCAATACATGTGGAAAAGGTTTTGCCTTTACAAGCAATCTTGCTGTACATCGGCGAACTCATACTGGAGAGAAACGTTTTGTGTGCAGTGAATGTGGAAAAGGCTTCACCATGAGACGTTATCTCATTGCACATCAGCAAATTCATATAAAAGAGAAATCACATACATGTGAATGTGGAAAAGGCTTTGTCACAGAAAGTGAGCTCATTTTGCATAAGCAGATTCATACTGGAGAGAAACCATATGCATGCAGTGAGTGCGGTAAAGGCTTCAATGTGAAAAGCAGCCTACTTGTTCATCAGAGAACTCACTCGGGAGAAAAACCCTTTATTTGCAGTGATTGTGGAAAAGCCTTCTCCTCGAAGAGAAATCTCATTGTACACCAGCAAACTCATAATGGAATCAAACCCTGACAATGCAATGGATAATGCTCATTCCTTCAGGAAGAAAATGTGTCTTGTATACCAGGTATTTCATGTAGGATAGATTTGATGCATATTGAGTGTGGAAAATTCTACTTCTACACTATGAAGTCTTAATTATTCACCAGAAAATTTAGATGGAAGAATTTAATGGAATCACTGGGAAAATCTTCAATTTGAGTTGTCTTCTTAAACCCTTTGATGCTCCCAATGTAAACAAACAACTCATACTAGAGAGGAGACTGGATTTAGCAGTTGGGGCTGACCTAATTTATAAAGTTGCATTAAAAATACTACACACGTGAGCAATATGTTATGTCAGGGCATGTAATCCTTTGCACAGAATCTGAATTCATTACATACAAGCAAACTCACGAGAGGTAAACTATAATAGTACTTGAACTCATGTATTAGTGTGCTCCTAGCATACTTAAGTACTATATAGTGTAGAGCAATATGTTAATGTATGAAATAAAACATCTATAGAGAATGTACTAGTGCCTTCAGTGATTAAGTCATACTGTATGTTATGTGGGAAAATCCTCTGATATATTCAAAGTAGAAACATTTTGAAGAAATATTTTTTTTATTTATGTATTTAGTACAGGGGCTCACTACAGAGATTTGTCTAATAGTGATCCTCCTGTTTTCAGCCTCCCAAGTGCTGGGATTACAGGCATGTGCCATCATGCTCAGTCTGAATTGCCATCTCAGTACATCCCAGGGGCGGGGCTGGCATGGCACCCCAGGGATTCAACCCCGGTCCCTTCATCTGCCTAAGCAAGTGCTTTAATCCACTGAGCCATCTGGCTGGCCCTTGAAGAAATATTTCTAAGTAATTACATGTATTAAAAAGTATATGTAGAAATACAGTACATATGAGTAGGATGACTAAGACAACCTGGTATGGGAAAAAAGGCACTGTCTCTTTGGTGCTCAAAGTAGATTACCAGTGAGCTGAAACAAAGTAGTAATATAATGATCACAAGAAAGCCTTTTCCCAGAAATGTAACCTTTGTGATGAGTTATTTCACACTGAAGAAAACTTTTAGGAGGGAGTGCATATGACAGGATTTCAGTGATGAATTCTGCCTCATTATTCATCATTAAGGCATGCACAAATAAGACTGCTAAGAAGACAATGTGTAGTAACTAGCCAAGTGTCAGGCATTTATAGAAGTAAAGCTTCATGAAAACAGTGTATTTTGAAAGGCTATCAGAAGGCTAATGTCACAGCTGATAATCATGTTGGAACAAAATTTTCTCAATTCCACCATTTTAAAATGGATTGTTCTCAGCTGGGTATGGTGGTGCACCCCATCACATAGTTTCTTCAGTCATACTATCTTAACTATAGTAAGGTACATAATCAAAAGCAATTAAAATCAGCACTTTTTTGTTGCTGAAGGTCAAACTTACAGCTTTAGGTATCGTATGTGCATCCTGTATTACTAAGCAATATCTCCAACTTATAGATCAGTTCTAATTATACTGTAGACTTCATTTTGGGCTTCACTAGTTTTTCAATGCATTGGAAAGTATGTTTTTATTATTTTTTGTGTGTATGTAGAGTTCTAAATTTTTGTAATTACAGATTTCTGTAAGTTCTACCAAAATCAGAGACTTTACAAACATTCTCCCTGTTATTACTCAAACCCTCTCCTAACTACATGGTAACTGTTGATCAGTATTGAACTGCTCTAATATTGTCAATGCTATTAAATTGGAATTGTATGATATGTAACCTTTGATAGAGGTACCTCTTCACTCAGCATTTGCCTTTTAAGATCCATTCATACTGCTGAATGTATAGTTTTTTCAAAGGTCCATTCAAACTGCTGAATGTATAGTTTTTTGTTGTTATTAAGTAGTTTTTTGTGGAACTGGGGATTGAACTCAGGCCCCTGCACTTGCCAGGCAAGTGCTTATTCTACTGAGCCATCTCTCCAGCCCCTCCACCCTTTTTTTTATGTATTTGGTACAGGGTCTTACTACACAGCTCAGATTCGTAGTGATCCTGTTTTCAGCCTCCCAAGCATTGGGATTACAGGCATGCACCCCCACTCCAGACTCGGTCGCATCTGGTTGCCAGCTTGGTGCTCCCCAGGAGTGGAGCTGGCACGGCATTCAGGACCGGGAATCAAACCCTGGTCCCCATGCTTGCCAAAGCAGGCACTTAGTCTGCTGAGCTATCTCACTGGCCCTTGAGTAGTATTTTCTAAGGGTGTGCCATATTAGTTTCTTTTTCCATCCACTATTGATAGACCTTTGGATTGTTGTGGCAAAATTCAATTTACCATTTAATGTCGAGTAATTTCATCCTTTAAAAGAAGTGTTTTTGAGCTTCTGACCTATGGCAGGCATTGTCATAGACCCTGGCATATTAATGAACAAACTAGCAAAGTTGTGTTCTTGATGGAGCTGAAGTAAACCTGAGTAAAATTCAAGACAATTCAGCTCTGGTTAGTGCTAGGAAGAACTATAAAGCCATAGATTGTAACTGAAGAGGTATTATAATCATTTGCAGGCCAAGTATTTCTGAGCAGATGTAATTTGAACTAAAATTCAAGTGTTGTGATAGGCATACAGCATATAGCAAAGTGTAGAACACCACACAATTGTTTCCAGGGGTTTTATCTGTGGCCCCTGACCCAGCATCCTCTGAGAAGCTTGTGTAAAAGAGCAAATTTATCAATCAGACTCCAGATCTCAGTAAACTAGAGCTTCTGAGGATGAAGCCAAGGATTCTGCACTTCTATAAATAATTTCTGAGGATAGTATAGCTTGCTGGTAGAACCCTTACCTAGCATGCATGAGCCCCTGGGTTCAATCCCCAGTGCTACAAAAACCAGATAAAAAGAGCTCTGATTTATATTTACATTAGAGCACCTCCACCCTAAATTGTGTTCTTCCTTCCATTACCACACCAGTAGTGTAAAGGGGTAGATTTGGGGCAAATATTTTCCATCAAAGAATAGGATGCTGTTCTTTACCAGACAGGCTGTTGGATCCCCTCTCTTTGTCCTATCACCCTGCACATCCCGCCATGGCAAGGTCTGCTTTTTGCTGGATCTGATCAATAATGTTCCTAGATGGATTATCCTGGGCTGTGTGTACCAGATGCTGAACTTTTCAGAGATGGGAAGTTTAGTGGAACAGAGCTAAAGTTTAATCATACTGAAAAAGACAATATTCAGAAATTAGCAAAGTTTTATTTTATAAATTAGCACATACCACAAAATTTAAGTTTTAAGTCACTATAGTTGTACCTAAAGTGAAATATTGACATAATATCCTCCCCAAGTTTTCAAATGCATGTAAGTATATTATTATAAAATGAATCTAGTCATTTATGTATATAGTATATGGTGAACTTTTTTATTTTTTGGCTGGCTCAGCCCACCCTGGGGGCAGGGCTGGTATGGCATGTGGTACCTGGCATTGAACCACAGTCCCTGCGCTTTGCTTAACCTTCCCTGAGCAGGTGCTTTAGAGCACTAAGCTATCTCACCGGCCCCATGATGAACTTATTTATTCTGTTGTGTGTTGCTAAAGCTGAAGATGTTCATTTGTGGGACTGGAGCATGGCTCTCGTCCTGAGAACAAAGAATGCCTGAGGTGAGCCACATGAACGGGTTGTTCCAGCCAAGAGAACACCAGATGACCTAGGCAAGCCAAGCCAACATTGCTAGGCAGAGGGTTGTTCGGCATGTGATACCAACATCTGTGTATAAACAGATACACTGCTCTGTTTTAGCAGTCCCTTTGACTCCCATCAGGAGAGAAGACTCCACCTGGCCTCAGTTTTTTGTTTCCTGACAATTATGTTTATTTAATATTTTAAAATCTTTTATTTATTTGGTACAGTCTTACTATGCAGCTTGGACTCATAGTGATCCTCCTGTCTCAGCCTCCCCAGCACTGGGATTACAGACGAGTGCCAACACAGCATGCCTGGGGATCCAGGGTCAGCAAAGCATATGGTGCGAGGAATCGAACCTGGGTCCTTGCACTTACCAGACCAGTGCTGAGGCCACTGAGCTATCTCCACAGCCAATTGTATTTATTTGTTAATCACCTACTATCTACCCCAAGAATCTTGAGAGGTGAACTGGGCATGACATCCTCTGAACCTACTTTTCTGAAATAGACACTTTTTTTTTTTACAGTAGGACAGTTCGTGATTATGATTCAGATTCAAGATAATAGAACTGCAAAAATCAGAATTTTTTGGTAAAACAACTCTTACTAGTATGTTCCTAATATGATCTAAACATTGTTTTATTTATTCACAAATTTCAGATACATGTTTATTATTCTAATAACAAGAACATAATACCTACAGTATTATAAGTTCATTTTTTCCTCAAATATCACATATACTGAAAATATAATAAATTAGAACAGGAATGAGACCCAGCCTTTCTCATTTCCCTCTGACATCCAAAAGGCATGACCAGGAGCTGTCACATCACATCCTGTGCTATCTCTTCTCTCCGTGTGGATAGTGGTCTTCCTGCCTACCATAGAGTCACAGTAGTCCCTTGCTATTTCACAGTTCAACTTTTGCAGACTTTCGTGGGTTTTCAAAAATTACTAGTCTAAATTATCACAAATAATTATATTTGCTATAGTAAGGTATATTTGCTATATTGTGGGATTTTGGAGTACCATATATGAATGTTGTTAAAATTTCATAGGTTCATGAATTTAGAAAATGGTTAAGAACAATAGAAGTGTTTTTAAAAGTGTGGGAAAGGCATAAGTGTGTGGGAAGAATTTATAAGG